ACACACTTGAACACAAATCAAGGAAATAAAGTTTAGCTATTTCGTTTTTTTTCAGTTGGCAAATCATTTTCCTTATTATTTTTTTCGGGGTTTCTCTGCTGTGAGTGGCAATAAAATTTGTTTTATTTATTTCTATTTATGCACATTTATGAGCGAGCCAATTAATTTATGCAAACTATGTGGAATTTGTGGCTGCCCAACCAAATGATAATTGCCGCCAAGTTTGTCAAATGTTCGGATCTCATCTTAGATGCTGATTATGATCGGCTTTGCTCATAACTCACGCCTAAAGTCTCGAATTAAACGCCATTGTTCCATATAGATTTTTACGACCCTCGCGGGAGGGAGGGCAGACTAAAACACAGCTGGCTGCGACAGTGTTTCATTTTTTGTATTTCGCTTTTGCTTTATGGCGCTTTGAGATTTGAATAACAAATCGAAATGTTGACATATGTTTGCCATTGTTGGCATTGTTGGTTCCCCTGGCCGGCGAATGATTTAGCACGGAGCGAAACGAAGTATAAACCGAGCTATAAAGATTTCCAATGCTCTTGATTGCTTATCTACCGGTTTGCTCGACAAGAGAAAAGTTTGGGCCGTGAAAGTAAGGGAGAGAAAGCTTTATCGACGGATCGTTTCTTTATTAAGCTATTGAGGATTGATAGATTGCCGATTAGGTCTTAATGATCAGTTTTATTAATTGGCTGTGTATGAGAATGCGAAATGAAGATACTAAATGGCGAAAAGTAATTCCTAATGTTTTAAATTCGTTTTAGACTAGCGACAGCCCCCTATCTTTGTAAGAGGCAAAAATTAATATTTAATACATGTTATTACATGTGTAAAGATTTAAGGTGGCACCTTCTTATATATAAAACTCTTTACTGAATAATTTCAGTTCAAGCTACTGTTTCTTTTTTAATAACAAGATTAGCTTTTTCTTGCTTAATAATCAAATGCCAATTATCAAACTATATGACCAAACCAAACAAACGTTTAATGGGCAACTGATGCATAAGACAGAGCTGATTAGATAGATTCCATTACTTAAAATGTAATACTTAATAACTAATTTGATTTCGTTTTTATTTACAGAGCCCTGCCCACAGCTCGTCCGCGTTCCACGGAGTCGGCGAATTCCAGCGAGCGCTGTCCGTCGCACGACTCCAACTCCTCGGACAATGGTGGTGGTGGAGTCGGCAGCGGCGGCGTTGGTCACCGGATGGACGGCGCCTTGTCCGCCGGAGTCATGCCCGGAGTGGTGCCCACCACCCTGCACTCGACATTCCCGGCAGTGCCGCAGTCCCTGCCCGCTCAGCCGCCCTCGATGGAGGCGTACCTGCACATGGTGGCGGCGGCCGCCCAGCAGTATGGGTTCCCTTTGGCGGCTGCGGCAGCGGCGGGGGCAGGGCCACGCCTGCCACTCCCAATGGCAAATGAGGCGGCAGCCCCCTTCAAACTTCCACCGCAAGCTTCGCCGACTGCGTCGAGTAATAACTCGGAGGCCCTGGACTTTCGCACCAACCTTTACGGACGGGCGGAATCTGCTGAGCCCCCAGCCTCGGAAGGTGAGGATGAGGACTTCGATGATGGTGCCAACAATCCCCTCGATCTCTCCGTGGGCACGCGAAAACGTGGTCACGAATCGGAGCCACAATTGGGACACATCCAGGTGAAGAAGATGTTCAAGTCGGACAGCCCTCCCGCGAATCCCGTGGCCCCGCCCTCAGCCAGTCAGCTAATGCCAGGAGTTAATCCGTATCTTGCCGCCGTGGCGGCTGCCAATATTTTCCGAGCGGGCCAGTTTCCCGACTGGAACGGCAAGAGCGATTTGGTGGTGGATCCCCTTGAGAAAATGTCCGATATTGTGAAGGGAGGAGCGAGTGGAATGGGCAAGGAAAAAATGCACTCCTCCAAGGCCACACCTCCGCAGGCAGCAGCACAACCACCAAAGAGTCCAGTTCAACCACCACCGCACCAGAATTCCGAGTCCGGCGGAGGATCGGGGGGCGGCGGAGCAGGTGGTGGCGGCGGAGTGACCAAGGCCAGGCACAACATTTGGCAATCGCACTGGCAGAACAAGGGAGTGGCCAGCTCGGTGTTCAGGTGTGTGTGGTGCAAGCAGAGTTTCCCCACCTTGGAGGCCCTCACCACCCACATGAAGGACAGCAAGCATTGCGGCGTGAATGTGCCACCCTTTGGCAATCTCCCGAGCAACAATCCCCAGCCCCAGCACCACCATCCAGCCCCGCCGCCACCACCGCAGAACCACAGCCTCCGCAAACACGGCTCGGGAAGTGGCTCCAATCACTCACCTTCGGCGAATGTGAAGAACGCCTTCCAATATCGAGGAGATCCACCCACGCCGCTGCCCAGAAAGTTGGTCAGGGGCCAGAATGTTTGGCTGGGCAAAGGGGTAGAGCAGGCCATGCAGATCCTCAAGTGCATGCGGTGCGGGGAGAGTTTCCGTTCCCTGGGTGAAATGACCAAGCACATGCAGGAGACCCAGCACTACACGAATATCCTATCCCAGGAGCAGAGTATCTCCATCAAATCGGCGAATGCAAATGCCAACTCAGATGCCAAGGACAGTCACAACAGTCTGAGTTCCGAGGAGAGTCGCACCCTCAGTGCCGTGCTCACCTGTAAGGTGTGCGACAAGGCCTTCAGTTCTTTGGGGGATCTGAGCAACCACATGGCCAAGAACAACCACTACGCCGAACCGCTCCTTCAATCCGCGGGTGCTCGCAAACGGCCAGCTCCTAAAAAACGCGAGAAATCACTGCCGGTGAGGAAACTCCTAGAAATGAAGGGTGGAGCCGGAAATCAGGAGGATCTGTTGAACGAAAAATCCGCTGTGCAGGGAAAACCTGGTCTGGGACCCGGTGGAGGCGATAAAAACGATGCCGCTCTGTTTGCCGAACGAATGCGGCAGTACATTACGGGGGTGAAGTCCCCCGAAGAAATGGCCAAAGTGGCTGCTGCCCAACTCTTGGCCAAAAACAAATCCCCCGAGTTGGTGGAGCAGAAGAATGGCAGTGCCAAGGCACCGGGCTCATCCTCGGTGCTAAGTGCCATCGAGCAGATGTTCACCACCAGCTTTGATACGCCACCCAGACACGCCAGCCTGCCAGCTAGTAGTCCCTCCAACTCATCCACCAAAAACACCTCGCCAGTGGCCTCCAGTATACTGAAACGTTTGGGGATCGACGAAACCGTGGACTATAACAAACCCCTGATCGACACCAATGACCCCTACTATCAGCATTATAGGTACACCAGCAGCGAGAGGAGTGGCAGTGAGTGCAGTGCGGAGGCCAGGCCGAGACTGGATGCCCCCACTCCCGAGAAGCCACAGCAAACAGGGGGAGGGTTAGGGGGAGGACACGAAGAGGAGTCCACCAAGCCGGCAATCAAGCAGGAAAGGGAGCTGGAGTCGGAACCCATTAAAATGGAGATCAAGTCTGAGCTTGCCGATGAGCAAAACGAAGTCGAGGAATCATCCAAAATGGAGGCGGCTCTGGTTAATGGCACTGCCATCAATAATAACAATAACAATGTGGAAAGGAGCTCGCCGAAGACTCCGTCATCGGCGGCCAGTCCTCAATCCAGGCTGCTACCTCCCCGAAGTCCTGCCGAGAGTCAGAGATCAGCTACACCAAAGTCACCCGCCTCCAGCCACAAATCCTTCGACGGGAGTTCGGAGGGCAACAAGAAGTATCCCAGTGATTCGCTGAATGCCCTGTCCTCTATGTTCGATTCCTTGGGCAGCACTGGAGCAGGGGCTGCCAATACCAGAGCTAAGCTGGCGGCTGCAGCTGCCGCCGGAGGATCCGAGTCGCCGGAGAACCTCAGCTCCGGTGGAAACTCACTGGCGGCCCTGCGACAATTCTGCGTGAAGAAGGAGAAGACCGCCTAAGTCCGCCGGCCGAGACGAAAAGCGAAACCGAATCGTTTGCCTTGTTTTCGTTGTTTCGAGCAAAACGCATTTTCAACATTTTTTGGTTTGCCAACGCCTCGCCTCCGCCCCCCAAATCCGAACCCGAAAACCCTCCTTCTGCGCTAATCGGGGCTTAGGGGTTGAGGGTGGGATTGGCCTTGCGAGCCGAGATTCAAGTCAAAGTGCCACGGAAGGAGCCATCGGATGCATCTTCGTCTGTGAAACGATGGCGGGCATGACGACACTTTGTATTAACCGGACAAAGAAACGGAATAGGAAAGAAGACTCCGCCGAAGAAATTGAGGGACTTGGCGCTGATCGCGACGATTGTGTGGACGAGTGTACAGATACAGATACAGATGAGAACGGAATGATCTGATATTCGCCGCCCGGCAGTGGGGGATGTTGTTATTTTGGCCCAACACGATTCCTGCCGCGTCCACTTCCTCCGGCCCACTTCCTCCAGCGAGCAGCAAGGCCTACTTTTTCAAGGTAATTATCGCTAGATGTTAGGTACTTTTTTACCGCGGAATCGAGCCGTCTTTATTTTCCCGGATTGGTTACATTTTGATCAGGTTTTAGTCAAGATCCTACTGAAACCCAAAATCCAGCAGTCTTAAATTACATTTTCATTGGTTTTAAAGAACAAATTTAAATAAATTGTTGCATTAAAACCCTTTTTTTAAATATCAACATTATTTCAATCAGTCAAAATTATGTACTCTCCTTATAAAACATGAAAAATCATTCCTATTTTATACAAACCGTTGCTAAGAGACATTTAACTAAACATTCCCATTCCATTCTTACCATTTCAGGATGCAGAACAGAAATGCGCCAATTCGGATTCCTTGAAAGACTGCGGCTTGTCAGCTGATCGGGGGTGGAATGGAAGCTAGACGGAACCCTACTCCCGAATATACGAGCCCTTGTTAGGGCTGCCACTTGCCTAGGCAAAGAGTTATGAAATTGGTAAAGAAAACATTGTGATCAAATAAAAGAAAAAAGTTTTTATGGAATTATCAAGATGCAATTGTTTATTTGGTTGGGTGTGGAATACGAGTTATGTTTAAACAACCTCGCTTATTTGTGTGGGCTCTGAGCTGAATCCAGAGTTTTTTTTGCCCGAAAGAAGTGAGGATAACATATCGCTAAAGTCCGGCATGTTGCTCACTTTTGGAAACTGAATGCTATCCAACTCCCTTTTGGCCTCCGGATCTTTGATAATCTTGGGAACAACCAGCATGAGTAAAAGTGGCACCACCATGAGCAGAACCATGGGATTCAGAATTAGATCGATAAAGAGCCACTGCTCCCGATTCTTGAAGTACTTTCGACGGAAGAGGGGCTGTAGTCGCAGTGGATATGGCACTTGATTGATCAGCGACGGCTGCAAGTAGTTAACCTTGCGAGCCCGGTACTTTCCTTTTCCCGTTATCTCCACCTTCACGGGTTGGAAGTAGATGTCCGGGTGCTCAATGTGCAGGATGTGACTTCCATTGCGCACTCCTGATATCAGGAAGCGCCTATCCAATCGCACGAATCCCATGAGTTCTCCATTACTTATGGACACTGTTATGTCCCGCAGCCAAGTCTTTGGCAGATTGAGTTTCCTATCGGGTGCCAGGATGACGCCTTCAATGGTGTACAGTACGGCTTGCTTTTGTTCACGTTCCCCAGCGACAAGATCTTGGTTTGCAAGGGCACTGCTCAGGCATAATATTGATAGAATCACAATAATTTTATACATTTTTAAGGGTTTAAAACTGTTCCAATGTGATTTGGAACTACTTTCGGTTAGCTCAGTGAATGGCGAAGCAAGGAAATATATGTTATTATTGAACTGCTAAAATCTATATTTAGTTGTTCTATGATCGACTACAAAAAATCTACATTTGTAAGCTAATCCATTTTATTGGAAGATTGCCCGCTGGTTGGACAATTGGTAGACCAGTTATGGATTAGTTTTGTGTTTAATCATTTTGTTAAATTTTTTTGTCAAATGATATTTAAACCGATCATAACATGTATCACTTGCACTGCAATACGAATAGTTTCCAGAACAAAGGTTAAAATTCTAAAAATCCAGCACTTAAAATGCCGTCGGCAAGTGCACACGATCATGTGATGATCATGAGTGCCAAGAAATCGAGCAGCGGCAGCTTCATTTGAAGGAATGACTCACTACCATAGAATGTCGTCTGCGGCAGAGGACGAAACCCTTCCCCCTTCCCCGCCCCCAAAGTGAACACTCCCCCTTGAACTTCTCAGCCAAATCGTGACCCAAGCGACTTTTGTTCGCCCATCAGCTGCCGCAATGTGAGGAGACATTGTGTGGAATTTCTATGTGGCCACAACTCCTTGAGAGCTAAGAAACCTGGCCAAGTAGCTGCCACAAATTTGCACTATGATGAACGTTTTCGGCTTCTGTGCCGCGCGCGAACCACGGCAAACATGTGCAATAATTTTAGATGGTAATTTCCCGAGCAGCTCGAGAGGTCTCAACAAGTGTTCAACGGTTTCGGCGCATGCGCTAACAATTTACCAATATAATTTGAGTCGGCCCAAAGGATCGCGGACGCAGGGCCGCTGGTGTCGTCATTATGGCAATTTCGTGTTCATCGTTTGATTTAGCGCCATCGCACCGAGTCTGCACTGGGTTGTTTGTATTTAAATTTCCCCTCCCGCTCCCCGATCTTCGTGGCTGCCATTCAACAGACTTCTTGCTGTTGCGATATTGTTGTTGTTGCTGCTCCTGACTGCGCTCAATTGACAGCGCATGCGCATGAAAATTTAAATTATGGTTCGCGACGACTCTAGCCATGTGGATCGGATCGGAACCGGGATTTGGGTTCGGGATTGGGTTCGGGGCCTGGTTGGAGGAGCTTCTGGCTGTGGCATATTCAGATTAAGTTGCTTCAAGTCCGGCCGCAGTCAAAATAATCGTTGAATGGAGAAGAATTGCCGCAGATCGGAATGAGAATTTGATGGGAAGTGTGAATGGAGTATTAATTTATTTTTGAATTCAGATCGACTTAAATCAATTCCATTTTCATATTTGTTATCAGCAATATAGTTGTCTAGTTGTATATAATTTACAATGTGTTACATAAATCGCATACAAAAAATATTAAATATTAATATTATTTATTTCGGCTGATATTAAGGTTCAAAAATTTAACAACTTTACGGTACATATTTTTTTTAAATTATCGTGACTGATTCAATTTCATCATACCGAAATCTATTATAAATCATATATTGATCAATGTAAATTTTTAAGGTAATAGTCTCATTTATTTGTGATTTTATTGTATGTACTAATTAGGTTGCTTTAAAAGTGTATTAAGTAATTTGAAACTATCTTAATAGTAACAGAGCTGAAGCCTTTCCTTCCAATAATAAAAAATTTGTTAATTTACTCTTGAGATTCTTATATGAACAAATAATAATAACTTCATAAAACTAGTATATATCTTTGCCGGCGAAATGAAACTAACCTGATCCAACAGAAAGCTCAGTTCCTTATCAATGTTTCTTACAAAATATCTATAAATAATATTAATCTAATCTGGAAGAAAAAAAATATCGAACAAAATATGATGATCAATAACAATCAAAAACAATGTGTAAATCAATCAGGGAAATTGATAGCTAATGACTGATTTACGATGCAAGACTCATGTCTGTGCCGTAAATCCGCCAACGCAATCATCATCATCATCGGCATTATTGTCGCTATCAGAAGGAAGAGTTTTGGCATGACACAGAACGGGCTTATCCCTATCGTCAAATGGCCCCTACTCATCGGCTCGGCGAGCTTTTAATAGTAAAACAATTTTGAACGATTGCAAGATAATCGTTTAATGACTTCGCCGCCGATAAGGCACAGAGATTTACTATACTGATTGCGATCGCTAAACGACGCTGCGCGTTATCAACGCGCCTGGATTACTATCTGCAATAAATCACTGCGAACGTGCTAAACTCTCAAGCAAATGTCCCCGTGTACACGCTTCTCTGAAGACCCTTCATAACTGATTTGCTTGGAATTGTTTGTGGCTGGGCTGCCAACCCAACCAACCAACCAGATATTCCAGATAATCGAGGACCTCGGACGGCCATAAATTTAAAAACGAACCTTTGTGTTTTATGCGGAAAAGGGAAACTTTTAAATATTCATGCGTGATATTTGTCGCAGCGACAGGATCGCTTTCAACGATCGATTGTTTCTTCCCAAAACCGAAACCAGACCAACGACAGCACTCGCATTCCCAACCCGCTGTCAGTCAGGCAGAACAATTGTTTAGGAGCCAGCAACACAATGGGTCATTTGGGCCGGGCTCCTTATGGCCCGAATAGCCCCTGCATCCGCATCCTTCGCTTAACTTACCAAAAACGAAACCAAAAACGAAAACGAAAACGTTGCCCATCCTGACAGCCAACAAGCGTTGCACGATCCCCGAATCCAGCCTGGATTCCTATTCTCTCGGGGATGCCGGGGGTGTTGTCCTTGTGAGTGATTTATTTAGTTTGTGTCAATTCCTGAAATTATTGGCCCCCAAATGCAAAATCGTTTCAGTTCTGGTTCTGGTCGTGACGACATCTCCCTGCATATCTTAACACATTTCGGTATTCCCTGAAAGATCATTTCACGGAAGGTGGATTCCCGAAGGTTAAGACTCGAAATTTGAATGCAAATTTAGACTGGTTTTGTTTTTGGCTGGGACCGTTTCCGATATTAGAGAGATCTAACGATCTTGAGACGTTTGATTTGATTGATTTAATTTAGTTAAACACTTAAGAGAATAGAAAAGGGTTCACTTGGCTTAAAGTAACATTTTTATTTGACAAAACTAAAAGCGTAATTCTATATATAGTATCTCAAAAAATATTTTGATAAATAGAAAAACAGCAAAATACAAATTAAAATTTTTTTTTTTTTCTTATGGGATACTTTAATAAAATCCGTAATTCTATAGTATTTAAATATTAGCACATCCAAAAGAACAAACAAGAAAAATTAAAAACAATAAAGTTATATTTAAAAAAAATTGGTCCGATTGTTCTCCCATAGGATATAGAAATACATCTTTCGGGAATGTTTATTCCTTTGAGATATAGTAATTTACTATATCTGATTTAAGCTTTAAGTTTTGTCAAAATCGGACAACAATATCATCTAGCTGCCATAGACACGATGACAAAATGCAGCGCAAAATCGACATAGTTTCATTGTTTTTTTTGAAATTCAGGCAAAAAAATCGAAATGTAGTTGTTTTTTTAAAACTGCAAGGGTATATTCATTTGCTTCATTTCTTGTTATTACCTATTTTTTAAGATTAAAATTGCATTTTATAAACTCTGAGGACATTTCGCCAGCACTCTAGCGCTCAAAATAGTTATTATAATATACTTAGGAATAACTTTTAATTAAAGTAATTGATGTAAATGCCATTCTGTGCATATTCCGGCCACTTGAGGCTCCAGATATGGGCGACGCGTTGACGATGATGAGGCAGCCAGCAAATAAGATGGAGTGCAGTGGATATTTCGCGTGGAGCCGTGGACTGGCGCATTTAAAACCAGTTCAAGATGCAAACAATGGATCATTATCCCGAAACAAAAACTAAAGTAAGGCCAAAAGCGAGGAGGAGAGCGAATCAGATACAATCGAGCGCAATCGCCACGGCATTCCCATAGGTTACACGGCCAGATGGGAGATGCCACAGGTCCAGGCCATCCCATACCCTCCCGTGGCATCCCATGCCATCCCATCCCATCCCATCTCATCCAGAGATCCCGAGGAAGCGGGACGGCCAGATAGTGCGACAGAGAGCGAAGCTGCGATGGCGATGGCTCTTGTTGTTTATTGATTACACGCTTTTTCGGGAATGTGCATTGCATTGGGCCACGGTGGGTTGCAACTCGCCAGCAACTTGCAACTTGCAACTCGCGACTCTTGGCCATAATGGTGCGGATGCCAGCGGCTGCAACATGCGCCTGTCATGCGATCGCCGCCGAGAACATAACATCCATTACACAGCCATCGAGCGCAGGAGAGGACCATCGGACGAGGACGAGGATGAGGAGAAGGACGAGACGCTTACGATTGTGAATGCGATTTGGCGGAGATCGCGGCCCAAACGTCGTCTGGCAGTACGGAGCAAAGAGCGCTGGGGCTATCGCTGGCCGAGAGCAATATGAAATTCAATGCCACATTTGCTGCATGAACTAGAAAAATACTGAAATGTTTGGCAAAGTGTTTCAAACGTAGGCCCAACGAAGATCAGATACTCTGTAGCCCATTTAACAATTAATATTTTTCATAAATATATATTTATATAAATGATATTATTATTATTATTTATTATATTATTTTATTAGTGAAATTTGCATTAAAACATATGTTTCTTAGTAAACTTTCGTAAATTGTTTTGTAATTATATTTAACATTAGTTTAAAGGTTTATTTAAGATATAATAGCCGTGTCTGCAATACAATTTTTTAAATTTGTACAGACTTATACAATTTTACGATTTATTTATTTCACAATAGATATTTTATGTTTGTAAGATATACCGTCAAGAGAATATCCATTTGGTTTAATACCTTTACTTTCATTTTAAACTAGGGAAATTTAATACATTCATATATACGATGATTTCAAATTTTGAATATAAGACAAGGATTTAATGATTTATCAAACTAAAACATACTATTTCTATTACAAATGCTAAGAAAAATACTGTTTAGATTTTTCTAGTAATAATAAATCGAA